ATAGGGCCTAGGTTTTAGGGTTTAGAGCTTAGGGTTTAGGGTTTTAGGGCTCGGAAGCGATTAGAGGTTGTAGGGGTTTTCTAGGTTCAACGTCCTTTCAAGCTACTCGGCGTTATAGGGTTACTTCAGGTTTGGGATTTCAGTGACTAGGGGTTATAGGGATATATAGGATTTAGGTTTTAGAAGCTACTAGTGGGTCATACGGACATGTAGGGTTCAGGGTTCAGTGTTGAAGGAGTTTAGGCTCACGGTTTAGGCTCACGGTTTTAGAGGTTTGGGGCTTAAGGTTTAGAGCTGAAGCTTTCGGATTGGGGTTTAAGATTTTGGGTTTTAACGGATTCAAGTGTCCAGGGTTAGTGAGTTGCGCATAAAAGTTTAACCCCAAAATCCCTAAACCCTAAAGCTTAATGGGGTTGTTAGGCTTCAGGGGGCAGGGTTTAGGAATGAGGGCTCACCGTTCGGGAGTTTGCGTTGAGAAGATCAACCCGGAGCCAGTTGGAGGGGAGCTTAGCGCGTCTTCTTGGCATGTACGGGATCTTGCAGGGTTCGGGGTTTAGGGTTTTACGGTTTGGGGGTTAGGGTTCTACTCTGCCTTGAGAATTCAAGTAACGGAAGCATGTCACTCTTTTCAGAGGACAGATTTCATTGTGTAGTATACAGCGCACTCCAGTCCAGTGGACTGTTCAGTACGTATGCAGGGTCTATCTGAGGACAAGATGACACTGCTGAGCTTGATGTTTTCATGTAAAAGCCATGTAGGACTGTTCAGCCTTTATGCTGGGGTTACAGGGAAGACTCGAAGGAAGTCTAGGGATTTCAAATGTCTAGGTGAAGTGCAGCATGTCGGAGCTCTAAATAAAAGATCCTTGAGGGTGGCGGTGTCATCCCTTCGCAATCCCCATGCATGCCTGGACCTCCTCGGGTTCAGGGTTTAGGGTTTTGGGAGCTAGATGCAGACATGCTCCTTGAATCGATTGTCTCAACTTGTCGGCGTGGGCTGCGAGTGAGGCAAATAGTAGAGGTTCTGCAAGGCACAGAATCAAAAACACTCAGGGGAGAAAGTCGCAATAATGTCCTCCCCATAAGGCGAATTCAAGTGATTTTTGTCTGCGGTGTACTTACCATTTGGATTTGTAACTTCATGTCGCAGAGAAGATCGATTCAGCTAGGCGCCTTCAGACTCCCTAAGAGTAGCAACAACTGAAACCCGTGCCTGCAGTGTGCAGTGAAACTGTTTCCGAAAGAAGCGCACGCATACCAACCCAAAGGGTCCATGTAGGTATATGGTATATACTTAAGGTCCAAAGGGGTTCCCATATACCTACTTTAAGGCCCAAGTATATCCCATATACCTACATGGACCCTTTGGGCAAGCAGAAGCACCTCAAACCCCGAACTCCTAAACCACCCAAGCTCGATGCTAAAAGGCTTTAAAGCGGAAAGCCTAGGCCATATGAGCTGTATTCTTAACTCCTTAAAGGGGGTTATATAGGGGATTATATAGGGAACTACTATAGGGGTTATTAAGAGGGATACTAGGATTCGAGACAATGGCTCATATGGCCAAACCAAGGTGATGCACACTAAAGCTTGAAAGCCTAAAGATAAACCTGGAGGACCAACTCTAAACCCAATGAGCCCTACAAACTTACTGGGGGTTAGTAGGGAATAAGGGAATACACAATATATGGCTCACAAAGGGATTATTTTCCCGTTTTCCATACTAACCGCCAGCAACATAAACCCTATACCCCAAAAGCCTAAAACCCTTCATATTTTGCATTCCCTTTTTCTACTAACCACGAGTGAGAGAAACCGAGAAACCCTATACCCCGAAAAGCTTAAACCTTAAACCGCAAGCCTTAAATCCGAAACCCTAAGCCCTAAACCCTTAAACAGAAACTCTAAACCTTAAGCCCTGAGCCCCAAACCCTCAACCCTAAACCCAAAAAGCTTGACTCTAAACCCTCAGCCTTGAGCCCAAAACCCAAAACCTAACTCCAAACCCTTGGAGCAGGTTAGAGGCTGATGTCTCGCGGTTGGCCGCCGCCTTGGCTCAACAGCCGGGTCGAGGTGCGGAGTAGTCCAGCAGCTTAGGGTTTAGGGTTTAGGGTTTGGGGTTATATGGGGGTTATATAGGGACTATAGGGTTATGTAGGGATTATATAGGGATAATGGAAAAGGAAATGGAAACTACTATTCAGGATTTAGGGGTTTGGGGTTTAGGGTTTGGGGTTTAGGTTTTAGGGTTATAGGGGTTAGGGTTTAGGGTAGGGCTGGAATGAAGGGATGGCCAAAGATATTGGAAATCTGTATATTCTCGGTGTTTACAGGTGTTAGTAGTGATATGGACAATCAAGTGGAAAGGCACAGAGACACTGGAATGGAAGCTGGAGGCTTAAACGGATTTCTTGGCTTAGGTTTTGTTTGGCGGTTAGTCAGGAACGAGGGAATCCTAAACCCTAAACCCTAAACCCTAAACCTTAACCGGGAGTATCTAGGGCTCTGGGCCATCCCCAAGAACTTTTCAACAAGGTCGATGTGGTAGTTTGGAGCCCAACATGAATCCCATTTAGTAGGGTCCTCATTCTTGGGAGGCACCCAAAACCCTAGACCCTAACTTGGAACCCTCAACCCTCTAGGCCTCCTCTAAACCCTAAACCCTATATAGGATCAGGTTTCAGGCCCGTGGTGAGCAGGGTTTAGGTCTTAGGGTTAAGGGATGAGGGTGAAGGGAATAATGCTGTACTGTCCTTAGGAATTAGTTTTAATGTTTATTATAGTATAACTCTAAGGAAATATTAAAATTAATAGTTTTATTGTAGGTCTAAGGAAACTACAGAATGCTGGGAAAGAGTTTTCAAGGTTTGGGGGATGTAATCTCGCCCAAGCCGTAGTCCGGTTCAGGGTTCAGGCTCTGGCTTTTTCACAAAGCGGTGTAGGGTTTAGGGTTGGGGCGGATTGCCCCCCAAGACCCACAACTGCAAACATAACGGGTTTCCCTTGGGGTCTTTCATGAGGGTTCCAGCACTAGAGGAGGCCTATGGAATGACCAGCTTTTGAGCCACAGAGGTTTAGTGCTAAGGGTTTGCAGGGTGTACCTGAAGAAGCCGCTTT